GCAAGCCAGGGAGGCTGGGCGGAGGCGAGCAGCTGAGGAGGGGTCCTAGCCACCGGGCCTCACCTTGTGGGTCCTGGGGCACGGCTGCTGGTCAGGCTGCAAGGAGCCCCTGGAGGATCTCAGGCTCCCTCTGCCTCGTAGCGGGGGCAGAGGGCGGGGCTAAGGGGTTGTAGCTAATTCCTCCCACATTTGAATTCCTCGCCGCCTGCCCAGCCCTCCCCACCAATGGGAGCCACCACCCTTCTGGCTTGGAGGCTAGACTGGGCTGGGCTAAATGGGGGCTGGACGCCCTGAGTCCCGGAGAGGTGGAGGCCTGGCTTCCACAGAGCTCGGGGAGCTAGACTGGCTAGGACTGCTTGGAGGGAGAGCTGAAGGCCACCCATAGGTCACAAGTGTCATCGGCTGCCTCCAAGTAAGCTGTCTTCTACTCAGGCTGAGCCAGATCAGGGTCCAAGATTTAGTTCCTAATCTTCTGGGGGCTGGGGCCCGCAGGGGACCTCGTCTAGAATGGGGTGTGGATGGGGTGGGCCAGAGCAGTCCAGCTGTTTTTCATGAGCCTGACAGGAAATAGCATCCCCATCAAGTTCACTCCTTTTGGCAGAATTCTGAAGGGACAGGACAGGGTGCGGGAGACAGAGGAATCAGGCGGAGGAAGCCAGATGCTGAAGACAGGGCACTGGACCAAGAACCAAGCCTGACTCCTCCCTGCATTGTTCTAGTTTTCCTTACGCAGGCCCTGCTGCCCTCTGGGCCTCAGTTTCCCCATTTGCTCACAGCCCTCTAAGCTGATGGAAGAGATGGGTTGAGATGAGAGAATGGGGCCACAGGAAGAAAGGGCGGGCTCAGGGGGTCCGGACAATGCAAGGACAAGAAGGCTCAAGAACCCAGAGGCTCAGTGTGCTGACCTTGTCCAGCTCCTCTTGGTTGCCAAAGAGTGGGTGGTAGCGGCGGTACTTGCCCTCTCTGTACTTGGCCTCCAGGTGACAACGCCTGGCACCAGGGCTGCTGCTAGGCTGCAGGGCCTCACTAGGGGGTACGTTGGCAGCCCAGAAGTTGTTCCCAGGGCCATTGCCCAGCTGTAAGAAGAGCTGTGGGTGTGGGCGAGAGGTGAGAGGGGCAGCTGACAACGAGAGGTCCTGAGACAATCAGGCCACACACCCCAAAGGGGGGTCAGGAGCAGCTAGGTTTGCTGGTGGCCATGGCACTCTTGCTCCAGGCCCGGGCTCTGAGCCCAGATTGTCTCAGACAGTCTGATAGGAGAATGTTGGAGGCCTGGTCCCTGGGGACCTCGCTGTTGTTTCCCCAGCCCCACATCTGGAATTGTGCATTCCTGAGGCTGTCCCAGGGAGGGGGTGTCGTTTAACCTGTCAGCCAACAGGGTAGGCAGGGATTTGGGGTCTAACTGTTCCCAACATTCCTCTCCGGAGGAGAAGGGGTGGCAGTTTCTAGGAGGCGAGAGGCGGGGCAGCATTAAGGGGTCCCCACCACATGCTTAGAGAGCTGGAGTCACAGCAAACGACAAAGCAGAGCACTCCCTGCCACGATGGACCCACTCAGGCTTTTTTTTTTTTTTTTTTTTTTTTAATTTCCTCCCTGAGCCTCAGTCTCCTCATCTGTATCCCGGGTATTCTAATGCTAACTCAGGATTATTCTGAAAGACAATTCACTAACAAAAGCGAGTTCTCCGCACTGGCATACCGAACACACAGTGTGGGCGTAGGAAACGGATGTGCTATGAAGTTCCCCACTTAGCAGTAAGGCCCTGGGTCTGGCCTCCTGCTTCAGGTTCCCCATAACAACTCTCACACGTGCAGGCACTGGAGAAGCTTAAGCACACGTGCGTGCCTCAGACCATGCAGCATATATACACTATGCATGTGAATTCAGGTGTGGTGAAAGCTCAAAGGCTCTGAGGGGTGGGTGTACATGGTGGAGAAGCCCCCCCCCCCCCGGCTCAGCTAGCCATGGGGTGGAAAGGAGCAGGCTGGGTGGCCAACACACAGTGGCTGGGTAAGCTCAGGCACATTTACAGCCCAATCCAGTTTCCACAGGGCGACAGCTGAACTATAGCAGGGTCAGCAAGTCTCTAAAAGGTCAAATAATAAGCAGTTTAGGTTTTATGGAACAAATACAGTCTCTGTCAAATCTTTTTTATTTTTATTTTTTTACAACCCTTTAAAACTGTGAAAACATTCTTAGCACACTGGTCAGTTTGCTGACTTGGCCAAAAATAGGCCCTTCCAAAATCCCCACCCTCTAGACTATCACGGAGCTCTGCTGGCTCCACAGTTCTGGGGTCAGTGAGGTGGGGGATGAAGGACAGCAGCTGAGAGAGGAAACCGCAAGCACGGGCGATGAGCGGGGCATGCCTACCTGGATGAGCGTTTCTGTCCACACCTTCCTGTCCATCTTCAGGCTCCGCACCTTGGACACTCCAGCACCCAGGCCACGGTGCTCCCCTGCGATGAGGGCCAGACACAGCTGCTCCAGAATCTGGTCACACACCGGTGGCTCACACCTTACCAACCTCCCTCCAGCCACAGGCCACTTTCCCTACCTACAGACTGCTTTGATGTGCAAATCCCGGCTCCACCCCATTAGCCGGTCCAGTGTAGATATAAATGCCTTTATCTGCAACCCTGCCATCTCCAACTTCCTGCCTCAATTCTCCTCCCATCTCCCTCCATGGCCACACCTTCCTGTCATTCAAGTCTCAGCTGACATGTCACCTCCTCAGAGACATCCCAAACAAACAGCGCCTTCTCTTCCCACCTCTTGCAACTCCAATACTTTTATTTGGTTCCTGTGTAGTTTTGCCCTTCCCGCTGCAATGCAGCTGCGTGTGAATAGGATCCTGACCACCTGGTTTTAGGTTTCTGTCCTCGGTGCCCAGAACAAATGCTGGTACACAATAAGCATTTGTCCGAGGATTGAAAGGAAAGGCTAAGGTTAGAGACAGAAAAATGAAGTTTGCTCAGCTACAATCAGAGGAGGGACCCCAGGAAAGGATAGGGAGCTAGGGGCACTAGGAATACCTGTCACTGCCTGGCTCAAGCCCTGGCCCTACATCCGTGTTCTGTCTTCCACAGAGAACCACGTTCGCCACAGTCAGCCTGTATCAGCTCCACAAACTGTGGCTTTCCTTATGTGACCAGCAGGGAAGCTGCTCCTCGTCTGCACACAGACCTCATGGCCCCAGGGCCTGACATCTGCCTCACAGTCCCACAGGCCTAGCTGTTCTTCCCCACGCTCAGTGACTCACTCACCTGTGCCCTTTCAAAGTTCACCTTAGCCCTGTAGCAAGGCAAAACCACCACCGGGGCACTGTCAGCTCTCAGGATAACCTAGTGCCCAGCACGCAGTAAGCACATGGTACATGCTAGGCCCTCACTACTCGAGTCAACAGAGGAACACACCTTGCCCCCCCGCCCGCCTGTTTTCCATTCCCACCCTCCTCAGCCATGTTAGCATGGAGGTTTCATATGTAACCTTCAAACCACCCTTGAAGGCTCAGGCTTCCTCTCCCAGTCCTGGATGGTGCAGCAGCAGCACCCACCCCCACTCCCACCCCGGGGGTCTCCAATCTCAGCGTCTGCCTGCCAGCCAGAGTCTGGTCCACAGAGCTGACCATGTCCCTGTGTTCCTTGTCTTACATGCCCTCTGGACAAAACTCTGGCTTCTCTCTCAGCAGGAAGAGCCCTGGTGGGCCTGGCCCTCTGTGCGCTTCTGATGTGACAGGCACACCAGATCCCAACAGTCTGGGCTCTGATCTAAGCTTACCTACTTGGCAGATAACCCTGAAAAAGTACTTTTATCCTCTTTGTGTGTTCCCATCCCTGCAGGGAGAGCATAACCATGAATGGAGGGCCAAAGGCCATTCCCAGAAGAAGAGCAAATAACGCTGGAGCAGCACTAGGAACAAGACGGCAGGACCTGCCGGCCAGGCCAGCCATTGCCCGGAGGCCAGCCTGCTGCCCACGTACCCACCTGCACAGCGCTTGCAGATGACAACGCAGAGATTGATGGAGGCCCAGTCGGGCTGGGCCGCCCCACAGTCAGCGCAGAACCTGTTGGGGGCCGCAGCCCAGATGCGCTCAGCCACCTCTGAGGTCGACAGGGCCTCTGCGATGGCTCCCTGCATAGCTTCCAGCCATTGCTCCTTCTCTAACTCTGAGTCAGCTGAGAAGCTGGGGACACATAAGTAGGGGAACTGGTGGGAAAGGGCTTGGAGGGATTTGAGGGCCAGGAGGAGGTGTGGATTTGGGAGCTCTAGGTCAGGAGAGAGATCATCTCGGGACTAGTGGAAAAGTGAGTGTGAATAACAGAACCATAAAAACTAGGAGAAAAAAAGGGGAGTTAGGAAAAAAATGGTGACAAAAGAGAAAGGCTGAATCAGGCAGTGAAGCAGGGTAGGTGTTTAGGACAGAGAAGGTACATGGCACAAAGGCAAAGGACAGGAGAGCAGACTGGCAGAGAAGACAATGGGGGTGCGGAGGGCCTGACAGAGGCAGAGCAGAACTGCACTGGCTGTCCAAATAGAGCTTCCTGCCTCAAGGAGCAAGAGGCTTTTGTTTTGTTTGTTTTGTTTTGTTTTGTTTTTGAGCTTCCTCTGCTGCTACCACCAACTGCAAGTCACATAGGGGTGTCCAAGAGGTCATGAGCGAGTGGGGCTGAAGATGGCTTCCACCATAACAGCCGGCAGAGGAACTCAAAAGCTGCCAGAGCCTCAGAGGAGCAAGCGGCAGTCACGTCCCACTGCAGCAAGCCCTGCAGGTCCAGGTGGTCTAGGCCCTTTCTGCTCAACATCTATCAGCCTTGTTAAGGTTGGTGACAGTGACCAGGGAGCACAGTGGCCTCTGCAACTGACAGAAAGGAAAACCCCAAAGTGGCTGGCTGCAGCTGTTGTGTAATCCCACAGCTAAGGATTACGGCAAAGAATCACACAGCCAACGTCATAGGATATTTCAAATGTAAGAAATGAACAAACACCAACTTAGCTCTTGAGGTCAAAAGTCGCTACCCTGCTATCATTATGGATAAAGTACAAACACTGAGACGGACAATAAAACAATAATGAGGCAGAGGCCAGAGGGCCTGGATGGTGAGCAGACACAGAGAGGAGATAGCCAAAGTAGAGTGCAAAGGAGGGAGACAGTGACAGGCTACGTGAGGCAGAGAAGGGCCAGGGGAAGATGGCCCAAGAGACAACAGGCACCCACGCTTTGAGAATAAGCAGGTTCTACTGGAGGGCCCACAGGCTCAGGGTCGGGGATGGCAGGGTGAGCCCTGTGTCTCGGGCCAGGGAGAGGGTAGCAGGTGCTGGCAGGACGCCTCATGAACAGCGTGGTGGAGAGAACAGAGCCGGCCAGGTGGAGACTGAACAGCGTGGTGGAGAGAACAGAGCCGGCCAGGTGGAGACGGGTGGAGACTTCTGACGGACGAGGGCAGGTAGGGGAGAAAAGCGGACCTGCTCCATGGGGTAGGGCTGGAAGGGGGGGATACCGAGAGGATGCCCATGAGCCAAAGGAGGAGCAAGGGCTCACCTGAAGATGCGGTAGGGGGTAGTGAGGTCAAAGCTGCGTCGGTCCACTTCCTTCACATTGCCCACGTTCATGTCGATGAAGGTGATACCAATGCCCAGCTGGAACTCCTGATGGGGGGGGGGAGGAAGGCGATGCTGACGGCAGGGACTAACGTGCAGGGATAGGGAGGCCCTCGGAACTAGAAAGAGCCTAAGAAGGAGGGAAGACTCAGGACACTGAGCAGGGACAGAAGCCTGGGGGTGAGGGCAGGGTGACATAGGAGGTGAATGGGACAGGACAGAAAGGTGGTGCTCAGGGACTGGATGGAGATGAGGTACAGGCAGACAAGGAAAAGGGGGGCTATGCTGGCCCAGTGCAAGAAAGGCTGGAAGTGAGGGTTGACTCAGGACCTAGATAGGATCAGGAAGGGACCAGGTGGACAGGAGCCGGGCAGGGAAGCAGACGGATGGGGAGGCCCGGTAGAGGCCTTTGTACCTCCAGATTCTTATAGAGCTGTACTTTGTCCCCAACCACAGCCACATAAAGCTTATTCTTGAAGCCTCGAAGCTCCAGGCTGCCAGCGCAGTCAGGCTGCTCAGTGCCTCGAACTCCCAACACAGAAGCGCTGGAGAGCCGAACACGGGCTCGCTGCTCAGCTACCGTCTGCTGCAGGGCCTGCATCCACTCATTCCGCTCCACTGCAAAAGGGAGAAGGCGATGCGGGACCTGGGCCAGCAGGGACCCCTGGCTCTAGGCTGCTCAGAAACCACCTCAGCGAGGATTCCCACTGGTTTGGTCCGATGCTTTGCTAGACTTCTCTGACTTGGACAACTTAGGCTACGATGCCTAAGTTGCACGGTGGTTTGCACGGGCAAGCCAATACAACTGAAGTGTCCCCTATGCACACTGATGCGTCTCTCGAGGAGCCAGGGGTGTCTGCAAAGGAGCTGGCTACAGTCAGTATCTCCTTCCTTCTCCCCCCCCCCCCCCCAGGAACAATGCCTCCCTGGCTATGACGTGTTAGGGAGCAGACGTATATTGTTCCCTTTCCACTCTCCACAGCGTGGCCAATCTTCCCTAAGTACACACACAGACACACACACAGACACTCCTAAACTCCCACCATCGCTCTCTGCCCGGAAGGCGAAGGTCCGATTGTTGGTGATCACTTCAAACTTCTGGTCTCCGATAGCAGCTACTCGGCAGATGCAGGCTACGGGGACAAAGCGTTTAGAGTAGGCATCCTGGGGGAGAGAAGAGCTGCATTTCAGAGTGGGACCCCTAGAGCGCCTCGCCCACATCCACGGAAATGAGGGCTGCAAGCCTATCTTCTGCAGGTGGCCCCAGACCACCCTGTGCTGGCTCTCATCACTACCCTCGGCCAGGCCACAGGCTGGGGCCCGCTGAAGGTCAGCAAAGGTCTGCCTGAAGCAACGTTGGGGTTCAGCCTAGGACTAGTCAGGAGCAGGGGTCAAGTGAGGAAGTGATGGAGCCCTCACCTTGTTACTGTCAAAGTATCGCAGGTAATCAGTATCCAGCCTCACCCATCGCTTCTGATAGATGTAAGACCTGAACAGGCAGAGGCAGGCCTCAGCAAAGATGGGGAACGAGGAGGGAGGTCCACCATTACACCCGGTCCCCCTCTCCCAGCATGGTTAACATGGTTACCAATGGTTTCAGTGCATGGGGAGGATTTTTGGGACCCATGACACCAGTGTCCTGGAGCCTAGCTTGTCCCCGTGCAGACACTAGAAGGAGCTGGCAGGCCTCACTCACCCCTGCGGCGGGTTCTTGTCCAGCCAGCCAGCCTTGACGACTGGTGTGATGGGGGTGAAGCCCCCAGGGAGCTCATCCATGAGGTGCAGTGGGAGATCAGGGATCAGGCTGCGAAAGGGTGGATTCAGGCCACTGGTGGGCCACCCGCCACTAGGATCAGAGAAGGAAAGTGGAGCAGGGAGGCTGAGGGCTCCCTCAGGCTAGGGCTGGGATAGAAGGGTAGGCTGGGCTGGACAGATGAATGGGGGGGGGGACGGATACTCACTTGGGGATACCCTCATAGGCATGGTCATCCTCGTCCTCGGCATCATCCCCAGACGGCTCCTCCCCCTCGCTCAGCAGACTAGCCACACGAACGGCCCGCGGGACTCGGCTTGGCAGGGGCTCCTCCTGGCCGGCCCCCACCCCCAGGACTGCTCAGTGTCACATTTTCCCCTCAGTTCCCAGATCACCCCCCAGTGCCACGCCCACCTGTCTACTCCATCCTCAACCCACAACTCAGCACTTTTACTTCTGTTTCTGCACCCTTCCCCCAGAAGCTGAGACCACAGAAGGACAGGGTAACCGGGTCAGGAGAACTGTTGGCAAATGTGCCTCTAGGGCCAGGGGGAAAGACAGAAAGGCCAGGAACCAGAGGAAGACCCAGAGCTGGAGAGACACAATATACATGCGAGAGAGATGACAGGAGGCCTCAGAAAGTGGAACAGGCAAGAGGGGCAGCCTCTCCAAGACACAAACAGCAACAGAGCACACACACCCAGCTAGAGCACCCAAGCCTGGGCAGAAGCCACAGACCAGAGAGCTGCGGACTCCAGGATGACTCTTACATATCAAGATAGCAAAGCGAAAGGGGATGTGGGGGTGTACCCACTCTGGTAGGGGAGGAGAGCCCAGGGTCTCCAAGGCCAATGAGCAGCCAGCCCTCCCTCCACAACACAGGCAGCCAATGCAACCCCAACCAGTTCGCCCTGCCTACCTTGGTCATCACGCTGGCTGGGGCCCCTGGCCCCTCCTCTGGGCCATCATCATAGTCAGAGTCGTCTGGTAAAAAGGAGGGCAAAGGGGTTGAGAGGGCTCACGAGCCAGGAGCTTGACCTCTTCTTAGGTGCTCTAGGGCTTGGTTTCACAAAGGCCATTCCCAATCAGGATGGACTCCCAACCCCACCCAGGCCCGACTTTCAAAAGAAAGGCGTAAGGGACAGGAAGTGGTGCTATTTATACTGAAGGAAAGGAAGGGCCACCACAAGGCTGACCAGGCCCCAAGCCTGGGAGTCAGGGGTGGGGACTGTCCGAACAAGGCCTACACGGCAACAAGAACCAAGATGAACCAAGAGTGGCAGGGCCCCAAGGGCCACTCAACCAGGGGCTTCACTACGTGAAGGGCCACCCATGCTCACGCTTGGCAAGAAGGAGACAGGGAGGAGAGAGAAAGCGCATGCTTTGAGAAGGCTCAGGACACCCCGGGGACTGCTGGCCACCGGGTGGAAGAAATATGCCCACTGCATGCTCTCCAGGGCTGATCCCAGGAGACCACCCAGGGCCCAACTGCCCTGTCGCACTCACCAAATTCAGGGAACAGGCGGGGTGGCTTGGGAGGGATCGCTGGAGGACAGGAAGAAGGAGGAGGAGATGGAGGCTTCAGGGGACCCTGAGGAAAGGTAGGCAGGAGGGTGGACAGAGTCTCTGCAGGCTCTGGGTGGGGACGGGGTGACACTGGTGGCAGCAATAACTCCTCCTTAGAAGGAAGGCTGAGAACAGAACCAAAGCTGGTGTCAGTAGGCGACAGACGGGGCTCTGACCCAACGAGGCCCTGCCCACATGGGCAGCACCTTCCCGACCCAGACTCCCACCTGCCTCACACAACCGTCTACCACTCTCACTCAGGGTGCCACCTCTTGGTCCTGTAAGGGCCAGTTGCCCTGCCCAGTGCCTCCGCTCTTAGCTATGTACCCATGGGACCTCCAGGCTGACGGAGAGAAAAGACCCGAATGGGGTGGAGAAGGCTGCTAAGGGCAAGGTAGGTTTTCACATGTGCCGTGGAGGGTAGAGGGCAGATGAGATGGGACTGAAACTAGAGTCTCAGAACCTGATTCCTAAGGCCCAGACTCAGGTCTGTGGACCAAGGCCCTTTTTTTTTTTTTTTTTTTTTTTTTTTTGTCCACATTCAGGTGACCTCAGATTCCTCAAGCTCTTTTCACTTTCATCTCTGCTGTCACTCTCCAGGGCCTGCTTCAGGTACCCAGTGCTTTCCTGCCACAGTTTTCCTGTTGTCCGATCCTGGTGATGAATGTCTCCTGATGGGCTTTGTCCTACAGAACACAGGTTTGAGTCCCACCTTAGCATCTTCATTTTCCTTGCGTCCTGGGCTACATGCCTAACCTCTCTGGGCCTGGGTTTCCTCTTCTGTAGAGTAGGAACTGTTCTCACAGGCAGAGAGCAGGACTCGAGAGAGTGGGCCACACACCAACACACAGGATCCTCAGTGCCCAGCAGTTAGAATGGCTGCTGGGTCCTGGCGGCCAACCCCACCAGCTATCTCTGCCCACATCTGCCAAGGGCTGAGGAGGGGCAGCAGAGCGGGCACTTTCCTTCCAAACCCCGGCTGCTTTTAGTCTGTTCCCCAGTGTTCCTGGCAGTGGGAACACCGTAAATGCAAGGAAGTCTGGAGGTGACTGGGTCACTCTTGAATCCACCAGTTTCCCCTCTCCCCGCTCCTTGTAGGCGCATCCCTGTCTCTCCACCACATCTCTCCAGCCCCACCTTGCTGTTTCCCTAAACCCTGCTGTTCTCCACTGTATGTGAAAATTATTCCAAATAATATTCTTCAAGGCATGTCCCTCCGACCACATACTCCGTCAGCATCTAAGCCAACAAATGCCAGCTCTACTACCACGTGCTTCTTAGAATGTGTCTGTTTCCCAACAGCTTGTCCCACAGCCATGCAGACAGGGAGGGAACTTCCCTGTGGAGTCATGACCCACATGAGGCTCTAGAGCAGCCCAGCCTCCCACCCAGCACTGCCTTGACAACAGCATCCTACGTGGGACCCACAGGGTACCAGGAGCAACGGTCAGCAAGCTCTACCACGGGGGTACAGGCTCCTGCGTAGCGACTGGGAGCACGCACACTTGTGGGGCCACTGGGAGGCACACTGGCTCCTCGGAACCAGGAGTTCCTTTCTAAGCCAGGCTGGCTCCCCAGGAGTCACCCACCCACTCTGATCCTCAGTCTCTCACCTCTGAGCTGTCACCTGCAAGGATCACAAAGAATGGCCGCTAGAAAGCTATGTGGGCTGTGCCGTGATGGCTGTCATGCCCCTGTCGCTACCCTGGCAGTAAGCTGTTCTCCACAACCTGCCTACTCTCTGGGAAACGACAGCAAGGGGAGGTGGCATGGAGGGCACACTATCCCTTTGTACGCACTCCCTGAGTTGACCCTGAGTTGTCTCTTCACGGGAGGGAAAGCATTTGACTTGAGACCCACACAGCCAAGCACAGAGTGTTCTGGTCGCAAGAGAAACAAATGAATGATTAAACGATGACTAAACACCTGAGTGCAAACCTGCTGGCCAGCTTGACCCAGTGCCTGGCCCCAGACAGGCAGGGCTATGTCCTTAGCCTTCCAGATGAGCACGTCAATCAATTGCACAGCTGCTTCCAGGAAGAAGGGGCTGTGGAGCCCACGCTCAGCGGTCAGCTGAGAGCAGATTGTGTGAACTAAGTGGAAGTGGGGATTCCTGCTCTCCAAGGCCAAGCAAGTGAGCCTGGCTTCCCATTGCTACTCTCCTCGCTCAATGGGCCTGAAGGATGGAGAGTAGCAATAGAGTGCCCACTTGTTCCTCATCCGCAGGGCCAGGCAAGCACAAGCCCTCCTCACCCGGTCTACCTTCACTACTGCCCTGAGGCCTGCCACCTGCAGGTGCCCTCTGTCCTTATCATCTGTCCCAGAAGGGGAGACAATGGGGCCTCTCATAACTCTTGCAGCAAGAAACCTCCACGACAGCCAGATTGCCTAGCACAGGGCATCTAGTCCTGCTGAGTCAGGGCCAGGAAAGGAGAAGTGAAGTTAGAAAGGCACGGCCTGTGGGAAATCCCCAGGGCAGGGGGCCGTGCCCCCTACCGAGAACAGAGCCGCTGGGGAGTGCCCCAGCAGCCCCTGGGTGTCTGTTCTCCAGAAACAGTCCCAGGTTGCTGCTCTCCAGGGCTGCTCGCAGCCTGGCCTCATCCAAGCCCTGAGCGCTGGTGAATCACCCATCCTGGCCTCTGCTCACCCTGCAGGTCCTTCTCCTTTGACTTCTGCTCCCACTCCCAACCCAGGGAAGCACCCTCTGTGCCTCAAAATGCAGCCCCCCCCCCGCCATGGCAGGGCAAAGATGCTCCCCGCCCCCACTTACCCCCAGCTCTGCAGTCCTTCAGGTCCTTCAGCTCTTTCTCTAGCCAAGGGGATGCAGACCATCTATTCTCATTATTACGTCATTCACGATAGGGCTGGGCACTCGACAGGGGTGACCCACCTCAGCCTGGATCCTTAGCTTATTAGATTAGCTCAACAGGTTGGAGGAAATACCCTGGAACCTCGTACCCAGGGCTGGGGGACATATGAGGGCCCCGAGGCTAAACGGGTGGGACTGGAGTGGCCCCATCGCTAACGGTGTGAGCCAGAAACGTAAGGCTTGGCCAGGGATGGTTGACGGTTACAGGGCAATGGGTGAAACAGCCTGTCCTGGCCACGAGGTGTGTGGAGTTGCAGGCGATTGTGAACTGCCCAGAGTGGGTACTGTGAAGGGAAGTCAGGCCCTTACAAGAGCAGCACTTTAGCTGGCCAGCTCTACAGTCCCAAGCTGCAGTTCAGGAACATATACTCTGAGGCTTTGCACAGTGTGTCCCTTTCATCTCAAGCATCTGTCCCTGTCTAGCCAAACGGCCCACAATTCTGGCTTAAAAGAGTATTCTTCCTTAAAAGACATACATCCCACATCCTCCACCTCTACTGTGGGCGTTCCCTCATGCCTCAGGCTTTTCAGGGGCTTCCTTGGGGATCCCCCACCCTCCACACTACTTTAAGATTTATTCAGGGTTATGTGCAAGTGTGTATACAGTGCATTGCCTGCATGCAGGTGTCCACAGATGGCAGAAGCGACATCGGGTCCCCTGGAACTGAAGTTTCAAATGGTTTGTGAGCCGCCACATAGGTTTTAGGAACTGAACCAGGGTCTCTGGAAGACCAGCCAGCGCTCTTAACTACTGAGCCACCTCTCCAAACCGCCTCCATACTGGTGATCCTTCCAAATGTTTGGGTCACAGAGATGACCTCAGAACACAAAAGACCCCAACCCTGGAGTCAGAATCTTCCCCCCAAAATGTTCCATGGGCCTTAGAGGGATGGAGGCCAATCCGAGGGCTCTCACCAGCATAGCTGTAAGAAGAGGCCAGGCCCAGGGATCTGGGCACATCAGTCTTTCCTGATGTTCCCTTGCAGTAAACTTTCCCAGCTGCCCACTTCCTCCTCAGCAGCTGGGCTCCAGTCCTGTACTCCTTGCCACTTCTGTCCTTCCTCCTCCACCACAGGCCGCTGCTGCACAGCCCCAGCTCTGTCTCACTCACTTCTGCCAAGCCACAGAGCACAAAGCTCTTGTCAGACCCCCTTTGCTGGAATGGAGATCTGCAGCCTGCTTGTCTCTTAACACAGAGGGGCTGCAGCCAGGGTGCTCTGAACAGCCACCATGCCAGTGCTCTGCTCCAGAAAGGCTGCAGCCCTGATCCACCCTCACCCTCACCCTCACCCTAACTGAGTCCAACACACAACCAAGGCCCCACAGCTCTGGGCACTTCTTCCTGGGCCAGGGCTCCCTTTGCTAAGCACCACTGTAAACCAGGCTTCTGCGGCGACTTTTTACACGAATGACCCCAAACCATCAATTCCCTTTTGCTTAAAATAGGCTTCTTCCTCTAGGAAACCACCCAAACACTCACCCTCCTTTAGCTAATAGCCTGCTGAGCACCCCACACCACTCCACTGCCTGACCCCTTCAGAGCTGCCCCACAGATCAGTCCTGCTGTGGTGGGCAAGAGACAGGTAGTCTCTACATGCCATTCTGCTCTACCCATATCCTGGCTCTGGCCCTACTCCACCACTTCTGGTGCCCAATCCAAAGTAGAGGCCATTACGTGTCCCTAGTGACCCGAAGGATGCTGGGTTCATTAGAGATTCCTGGTAACTGTCAGCACTGGAGGTCAACCTTAGAGTCCACATGCACCCACCACTTTCCAACCCTGGCCAGCGGGGGAGAACCGCACAAGTGAAGGGCCCACCCTCCGCAGGTAGGCCCTGTCATCTTGGGCTGGGAGTAAGGAGTTTAGACACACAGCAATCTTGAATTTGACAGTGCAACGAGCTAACCTAAATCTCCCCCAAGGGAGCTGCCTGATGGTGCAGGGAACTGGGAATGAATGCTAGAACAGAACAGGTGAGCATCAGAGGCCCAAAGAGAGGACAGCAGAGACACCCCTTCACACACACACACACACACACACACACACACACACACACAGGACAACAGTGGCAGAGTCTGATAGCACCAGAAAACAGGGAATGGGATCCCTAATGGATCTAGGAGAAGCTGCTGGGAAGAAAGGGGAGGTGTTAGAAGAGGGCATAAAAAAACCAGAAGCAGAGAAAGGAAAAGAAAGACCTGAGCAAACCAAGGAGCAGCAGGGCACCCTGGAAAAGCAGCTCAGAAAGTGACATCCAGACAAGAGGGGCTCCTGCTCTTCCAGCCCTCCCACCGGCCCAGCAGTCTGGCCAGGGCTGCCCCTCACTCACCCTCAGAGGCCTGCGGAATCCTGGGCCTAACAACTCCAGTCAGGTGCGCGCCAAGGTGTCCTGCGTCTGCCCCTGAAGGCCTATGTGGGCTTGCGCTGATGGCGCCGCCAGAGTCCCTGCTGTCAGCTGTGTCTTAGTTCTGTTCCTTTGCAGGTGTGAGCCCAGGTATGTATGTCTTTGTACACCTATGGGTGGTGTCTCTGAATATGTGTAAATAACTTCTCTAAGTATGTTTCTCTGAATATAATCATAAATCTGTGGGGGGTGGTGAGAGATGGAGAGAATGTGAGCATATGAGTGTGTGTGTGTGTGTGTGTGTGTGTGTGTGTGTGTGTGTGTATCCAGCTCTGGTCTCTGCTTCCTCCTCTCGGCCTCTCCTACCCCCACTCCCTTCAGCCTAGGCCAACACACTTCCTGAAAACACTGAGAGAGAGAAAAGTCACCCATAATCCCCTGGGGCAGATACTTCCTCCCCGCCCCTCAGCCACACCAGAGCCGTCCAAACTAAGATGGGACAATTAGTCCCATCTGCTGGTCCTCTGAGGCCTCACAGGGTAGCTGTCCAGGAAGCCCTGATTCCTGGTAGCCCTTACAGCGGCTCCCCCCCCCCCATGAGGCCCACAGCGGCTGCAAAATGGGCGTTCTGAAGGGAACAAGTTCTACCCCAGCAACAGCTGATCAGTCTTCAGCAAGACCACGGATTGGCTGGGCTGCAGGGGCAAGGGAAACCTTGCAAGGTGTGACTCTAGCCAGCAGCTGCCTGCTCTGGGCAAACACTTCCTTTCTCTCAAATATCTTTTATCCAAGTACCTGAGGAGGAAGCTTAGACCTGCAGAGAGTTGGAAGGGGCTGTGTGGAGTGTTTCAGGGGCTCTTGATCAAAACCGATTCCTCTGTGACCCAGAGAAGCAAGTGCTGAGGCTTTTGTCCCTGACACCTGAAGCTGAGCGGACAGGGCCAAGGCCAGGAAGCAGGATCTGAATGCTTGGTTTCCCCTGGGGGAGGTGGCTTGGGCAACTCTCTGCAGCCCCCTCCCCCAGCCCCAGCCTCCTCAGCTAGAAGCAGGGGGCCTCCCAGGCCACAGACGGGCCTGGCTCTGAAACCCTCCACCTGCCAGGCAGAAAGGAGCAGGCCCCATCCTTGCTTGTTTTCTAGTTGCGTACAGCTTTTCTGTGGCCTTGGATCCTATCAGCTTCTTCCTTCCCACCAGGTCCTCTGAAGGCATCTCCTTCCCGGGACAGGCTGGAGATGACATGAACTAGGGAAGACCTTCTTGAACTCACTGCCCTTTAGCTCTCTGGCCAGGATGGGCTGAGGCCTGGTCGCGCCATCTGCAGACACCCAAGCTCAGCACCCATAGTGTGAAAGCTCCCGGCAGCACTGGCCTTCCACCTCCTGGACAGGTCCTAAGGGCCTATTGGGTACCTCTTGCAGGAGGCTAGGGATGCACCAGGAAGGGAAACCGACAAAGATCCCACGGCCCTAGGAGAGCTGACATTCTAACGGCTCCTGGCAGCATATGTGCATACATATGTGCTCGATGACTCAGGCCTGACAGTACACAAACAATGACTGTGCCAATTCACTCACCCAAATAGCATCTGCATACCAGTAACAATGCAGCCTGGCCGTGCAATCCCACGGGCACGCGTATGTGTGTGCTCAGCCCTCACGAGCTCTCACACACAGGGCCTGTCGCCCTGCGGCTGGACAGATC